CCGCTGTCAGCTTACTGAGTTGTGTTAAACCAATCCCTCTCATCTCCACTTGGTCCAGTGAGGTGGAGACCAGGCAATTCCGATGGTTGGTATTAGCAGGTGAGGTGTTAGGTTCTCTACTAAGATATGTTAAGTTTGCTTTGACGTGCGGATGGCAGTGCAGGTTTCTGGTTTGCCCTGGTATTGGCACCTCTTTCAACAGAGACAGAGAGGCTCAGAGCTAAGGCAAATACTCTAGAGGTCATGAGTGGGTCAGGCTAGTGCTTTGACAAAACTCCTCTCTGTTTAAGTTGTTAAACATAATGGTTCTACCCTCACTCACCCTCCTAAAACTATAGGGTCGCTCATTAATATGAATGGGTTTGGTTTTCAGAAGCAAAGTGGGAGCCACATCCACTTCGATGTCAGTAAGCAGAGCCTGCAGTTTCTATGCCCAGTGAGGAACATGAAGTTTGGTTCTAGCTACACACCTCACTGTCCTCAGAGCTTCAAAGAAGGTAGGTGCACACTGCCATGTGCATCTGCAGGTTTCTATGCCCAGTGAGGAACATGAAGTTTGGTTCTAGCTACACACCTCACTGTCCTCAGAACTTCAAAGAAGGTAGGTGCACACTGCCATGTGCATCTGCAGGAAATAGCCTTCCTGATACTTCCGACTCCATCAGGAGAAGATTCCCCTCAACCCCACTGCAGCCCATGCGAAGAAGCTACTTTCCTTCCTTGTCCCATGTCCTTGCTTCCTTTACACTACTCTTTCCTGTTTCTTGCCCTCTTTCCCCATTTCCTGACTTCCCTTCTTAGGGAAACTTTTACTCTTTTCACCTGATACAAAGCCAATGGCATGATCTTTAGAACAGGAAATGAAAGTAATTCCATATTCTTTCTTCCTTCCTTCTTCCCTCTTCTTTTCTTTCTTTAGGATTTTCCAAAGCACTTTAGGGTCTAAAAGTAGGTCTCAAAGCCTTACAGGTCAAACAGCCTATATGACTAGTGATAGCTTCATTCCCATCTTTGCTGTCTCCAATGTCTTAGGGAGGGGATTAGAGCTGACAGTGCTGTCTTATCCTCAGCTCTACAATTCCCTGGCATCACCTCTTCACCTGTGGTCCCACCTTCTACTAGGTAACATCAAGGTTTTGATTATGTCAAAATCAGGTCTTTCTAATATAAAAATTAGGCCTCCCTGTTACAGAGAGTTCCTGAATTTCTGAGGTGAGATTTTCAGAGAGAATTTGGCTCAGGTATACAAAATCCTGCCAAAGCTCTGATGCTTCTATTCATTGACCCTCTTGTAGGATAATACTGAGCACAGTAGTTCTTTCTCATCCTCAAGTGGTGCTGGACAAGATACAATTCACTTCACACAGCTCTCTGCCCACCACAGAACATGAGCCCCACAATAAAGACTTTATCACGAACCTGATCCAAGAGCACACTAGAGTTTACCCATTTAGATTTAAAATCTTCAGTATTTCCCAGATTGCATTTGGTGTCATGCCTTGGCATTTCCCAAGTACATCCATCAGGCCACTGGAGTCTATTTTCAACCCCCCAAATAAGCAACAACACAGCCCTCTCCAAAAACATCCAAGTGGCTATATCACAGGTAAAATAAAAAATGCTCTTGATTAGTCACTCTAGATCCCCTTGAGAGTGACCAGTTAGAGATGAAGTATTCACACTTCTTGAAGGAAAAAACCTCACTCTTCCAATTCCACTGAGGGGGTCAGCAAAGAAAGCAAGTGGAAATGAAATACAGAAGAAGCAAGGTTATATTTGGTAAGAGTTCCTTGCCTATAAGGGTTAGGAGCTTTCAAATTAGAGGATCTAAGAGGTCATGGCTCCCCCTTTCCTTTTTTCCAGGTCTTACTGGCTGAGGAAAGTGTGTTCAGTGTTCAGCCTCACCTGGTTATTTCTTCTTTCAGGGCAGCAGGGTCTGCAGGGTAAAACTTCACACGGAAGCACATGGTGAATGGAGGCTGGGCTGCAGAGAACAAAAGGGGCCCATCAGGGAAGACCCTCTCCCAGAAGATGACTGGGCTTCCCTCCCCACCAGGATGCATAGGCCTCTGAACCATCCAAAGAAAATCCTCACGTGTTTAGGGCCAACTTATACTCAGAATAATGGAAAATTACACATGTAGTCCAAGACTTACTACACGTGGGAAGTTTCATCCCACCCTCCCTACATCCAAAGAAAATCCTCACGTGTTTAGGGCCAACTTATACTCAGAATAATGGAAAATTACATATGTAGTCCAAGACTTACTACACGTGGGAAGTTTCATCCCACCCTCCCTAGGGGTGAGGCTTCAGTCTTTTCATGGAGAATACTTACATCTCAATTGCTTCACCACAGATTTTGTAAACTCCAACCAATGCTGAAACAGAGAACGCAGAATAAGAAAACCCTGATGAGAAGCAGTGTCAAATATAACTAGTTTTATCCAATTTAAATAACTACACAGATTGTAGCCTAGGGTGAAAGCAGCCCAAAAGCTTATGAAATAAATGTTTGGAGAGTAAAGAGTGATATGATTTTCTGCAATAAGCTTCCTATGGAACCAGCTGTGAAAGGGGGAATAGTTCCAGCTTCAGATGCCATTTGTGGGCTTCCCTGGAAATGCCGCCTTCTAAAGCTGGGTGCCAAAGTTCTGAGCCACGTTTCCGGCATGCCAGTACACAAGTGACTGCACATATGTGTGGTAGGGACAAAGCCCTACCAGGCTTGAATAGGGAAATGCTGACTTTAGTGGATAGTGTGTTTGTGTTATGCACCAACTTTTTTCTGGCAAGGGAGTGGAGACAGAGGCTACTGGAAGAAACTCTAGAAAGAATTGACAAGTGGGAATTTCATAAATGGCGAGAAGGCAGGGATGGCTGGGGTATATTTCATCTTTGTTTAAGTAACATGGATTGCCTACCCTTGTGCTAGAGAACAGGTACTCAGGATTCCTTGGCATCGAGGAATGTTTAAAATCTAAGTCTCAAAATAATTAACCACAACCAATGTGTAGGATAGTATCCTTTTTCCCATGGATTTTCATAGGGGCAGGATATAGTAGCAATACATTTTTTGGGGAAGGAAGCAATGAGACCATTTTTTATCTGTTTCTCAATTCTACATGGGTCCTTTATAAAATTAATTATTGATGTTTATTGCTTTTATGCTAATCAGGAAACTTGCCAATTTGCAGAGAGCTAGAACTGCTGTTCTTTGGGGTTTGGTTTATGGGAAGTAGCTTAAAGCTACTAGATGTAAGCTCTGTGGGGGTAGAAACTATCTGTCTTGCTTACCACAGTATTACAGTGCCTAGCACAGTGTTCAAAACGTAGCTGTTGAATGGACAAAGCAACTGGGTCCACACTTCCCTCTTTTCTAGCTACTTCCATTTAGTGTAATGTCTTGGCAGAGTCCTCCCTCTGGAAGGAAAGCAGCCAGGGCCATGCAGACAGCATCCTGGCCTCCCTCAATTCCCAGCTCTCACCTTCTGGGCTGGCCATGGGTCATGCAGTTAATGGACCCACTAAGAACCAGTTTTTCCATCAGCTCCACATGAATAATCTGGGCTGACATTCTGCTCTCTTGCTTCCTCTGATCTGAGTTCCCATGAGGCTGGCAACTCATTATAGCCACTCAATGCGGTTAAGAGGTCCTTCTCACATTACACAGCCCACCGCGGCTCAGCTTCACAGGGAAGCAAAGGCAAGTGATGAAATTGTACAGAAACAACTGGGTTCCAGGCTGTGCCTGTGAAGACAGAGGCGGCCTTTCTGTTCAGGGCACACTGGAATTGTGTACAGTGAGGGGAACATAGCAAGTGTCAGGGACTCAGTAAACAGAATGCCCCTAAACATTAGGCTGATAGATTTAAAAAAAAAATAAGCAAAGGAAGATAGAAATTAAGAGGAATGACTGTGAGGTGCATTATCAGCAGAGGGCAGATGGAACTGAATGACTAAAAGGCTATTCCCCTTGGCAATAGCTGGGCAGAAAACTTCAGTTTGTATTGTTAGAGTTCAAGAAAGGACAGAAGCAGGAGGAGACAGGAAGGAGGTGGAAGGACAGGAAGGGAATGGAGTGCTGTCACAGCTTATCCAAGGGATTTTAAGGGTCTGGCAGAGAAATCTTGAGAAGACCCCAAGAATATGGTGATGGTCAGAGTTGCCTTTTACAGCTTCCTGGCTAAATCTGGGTCCCAGAATCACTAGCAAACCAGTAACACGGGCTTAGGGAGCAGAAATCAGGAGAAGAGGAAAAGAAGATTCAGAGGGTAGGGTTTCCTCCCGTATTTTGGTGAATGGCCAATGTGGCACACTCTTCAGACTGGGGGCTTGAAAGGGTGCAAAGGAGCCAAGCCAGGAACACTGGGGAGGAGGAGTGAGGGCAGTTCCTCTAGGAGATACCAAGAGAGTTCCCACACACATGGAGACTCCTGCAGAGCAAGCAGTGATGTGGGGATGAATGTGAGCTGAGTTCAAACTTCCTCATAACCCAGGCAGGAGACTTATTGTAGGGCTTTACACCCTTGGGAATCCAGGGAGCTAGCCTCCTCCATTTCTACCATGAATCAGGGGCAACAACTCTTTACAGGTCCATTTCCCCTCAGGTACTCTCTCAAGCCTCTCTGCTCTCCTCAACCTCTCCCTCGAGGCACAGATACTCAACTTTCAGAGGCTGTCAGGCATGAATTCAGCATGGAGTATAAGAAACTATGTAGGCTCTAGAGTCAAACAGATCTGAGCTCAAGACTGGCTTTGCCACTTACTTTGGGCAAGTTACTTAACCTATCTGAGACTTTATTTACTCATCTGGAGAATGGATGTTATAATTGTGGCTACTCATTTCATTTGTGTTAAAGATTAAATGAAATAGCATGTGAAACTCTTAGCTTAGTGCCTGACACGAATCAGCTGAAAGTATTAGGTTTCTGCTCAGTGCAGAGCCTGGCATACAGTAGGCACTCCATAAATGTTTATTTCTCCTCTTTTGCATTTCTTTATCTCTCTCTTTAGCTCCTTTTCCTTTTAATCTTTATCACCGCCACATAATCCTTTATTCTCCTCAAGCACATTCTGACCTAACTAAAAAATAATGATCAGGATACATTTTGCCTTTTCTCTTCCTATACTGCCATCTCTGGGAGATAAAGAGATCTTGGGAAAACTGGCTTTCCTTTTTAAGGAGAGAAAGTACAAACAGAAAAACACCATTTGTAAAAACAGTCCATCATTATATAGTGAATGGGCACCTATAGCAGGGGAGGACATGTAGCTTCCTACATGTTTCGTGGCACTTTTTGTGGCCTTGTACTATGGTCCAGAGCTAAGGACAACATTTATGTCAACAGAGTGAAGCCTTAGAGAGTGAGGGGTTGATCTCATATTTACTTCCCAAACATTGATGGTGCTCAAAACTCTGCTGGAACAGGAGGAACAAAATGTCAGTGAACAGGGGACAGGGCTTGTCAAAGGAAAGGGATATGGTCCTTTAGATTCTTTCCTAATGCTTGTGTGTTTAGTATACAACACTAGATGTAACCTGGAAGACGAAAAAATAGCACTTGACTCTGGCATGGTGAGGGGCTTATCTATTCAGTATCTGTGACCCTGGGCAGTGCCTGGAGGCTGTGCTCTCTGAGGCTTCAGGGCCTGCCATGACAACAGAGACAAACCCCATGTTTGGAGCAGTGAAAGAAATCCTGGACCCATGAAAGGAGGGTGCTTTGGGATTTGTGATGATAACATTTTTAGAGAGTGGTAGATGATTGTGGGTGGTGAGCAGGGGTATAGAGAATTGAGGCATAGAGGCTTGAACATGAGGCTTCTGTATATTTTCCCACTTCAAGGGGGATGCCAGAGAGTACAGCCCCACAGAGAGCAAAGGGCAGAAAAGCAGAAGTCATAGAAAATGCAGGTGTCTACAAGCAGGGCAGGCGCTATAAACCATTAACTCATTCACTCACTCATTCATGCCTTCAGCAAATATTTACTGAACATCAACTCCATTCTAGGCCCTATTCTAGTTACATGGGAGATAGTGTTAAATGATATAAAGTCCATGTTCTCATGGAAATTATATTTTTGCAGGAAGCACAGATAATCAAATAGGTAATCACAGAATGGTATAATAAGTGCTATGATAAGGGTAGCAGAGGGTACATGGGGGCCCATAGGAGGACCGCTAATACAGAGTGGGGGTTACGGAAGACATCTTAAAAGGAGTAAAAGTTTAAGCTAAGACCTTAAGTGTAAAAATGAGGTAGCCAGAAGAAAGTATGAGTGTGAAGAAGTGAGTAAATGGAGAAAACTGTTCCAGGCAGGAAAAGTGTATAGATGAAAGCTCTGTAAAGAAAGAAGGCACGACCTGTCTGGAGAGCCATGGTATTGTCTGGCTGGACTACAGCAGCGAGGAGACAGGTCAAGAGAGATGAAGCTGGAGAGATGGGCAGGGGCCTGAGAACAATGGACTTGTTCCTGCCCCAGTCTAGACTATCACAGTCCTTCTCAATGCCCTATGTCTGTAGAGCTGCCTGTTTTGTAGGTTGTATGTTGAGCAAGAATTGCAGGATTTGCAGGACTCTGAAAAGCCCATTTCAGTTTTGTTTTATCTCTGTCCTGCCTAGATTGGGTTGGTACGGCACCTCAGGTGGTGTCCTTCCTAACCTGATCAATGTAGTTAGCCCATTTACTAGAAAGTGGGCAGGAGAGGCTCATCTTGTTACCTGGGCTCCAAGACCACAACACTAGTTCAGCTTCTCTGCCTCCAAATGGGCGAATTTGGGCAAATCACTTAAGTGCTCTAGGCTGCCATTTCAGTATCTCTCTCTAGATGTGCTCTAGCTAAGGTGTCTTCCAGGTCTAAAGATATGATTTGAAGAGATGACATCCAACTGTAGGACCTGGCTAGTCACTGACTTCTAAAGCTAAACTCTGAATATGACTGACTGACTATTCAAGACATCAGACTTATTGACTAACCCTGCCCTCATTTTGTGCTTCGAATAGTGACTTACCCGCTGCTTATCTGGGTCCACAAAGCGGATCCCAAAATAGTCTTTTTCAAGTAGGTTTAGGTGGTGGCAAAGAAGGTCAAACAGGTACTGGCCTTTGGCATCTCTCTGCAAAATAAGAAAGCTCCATTGAGAAAAGAATGGGCTTCTTCAATGTAACTTTATTTTTATAGTCATTAAAAATTATTTATAACTGTTGCACGTGGATATGAAAGGGGCACGTGTCCATAACTGTGTCCTCTATATAGTGATGCATTAGATTTCTCTTGAATTCTGAGGCTTTTAGCACCTGGAAAGAGCCCAAGAACCATTCCCATTACAAAGATGTCAGAGATGTCAGTGTAGAGTCAGGTAAGCCCAATCTCTAATGCACAAAGTTTTCTTAAACTAGTGGGAGTAAGGACTATCCGTGTGGAATACAGTAGTAATCACACCAAGTCCAGCTGGCTCTGCCTTTAAAGTATGTCTTGAATCCACCCACTTCCCTTCATCTCCACTACTAACTCCGTAGGTCAAGCCACCACCTTCTCTCACTGGACCACTGCCATAGCCTTCTAACTGATTCTCTGCTTCTGCTCTTGCCCTCTTCAGTCCACTCTCCACACAGCAACCAGAGCGATTGCAATTTACACATAATGTCTTTTTTCCTAAATAAGTAATAAAGGCACATTGCAAGAAGCTCAAACACACCAAAGGATATACTACGAAGAGTAAAGTCTCCTTTCCACTCTAGTCACCCTGTGCCCCAGTTCCTCTTCCCAGAAGCAAAGCATTACCAGCTTCTTGTGTATCCTTCATATGAAATTTTATACATAGGCAAATGTATATATATATATATATATGTATGAGGGCACCTCAAAAAGTTCATGGAAAGATTTGTATTATCTTTTAATTCTATTTTCCATGAACTTTTTGAAGTACATCTCTTTTTAAAACACATTTGTAACATTTCTATACTCCGTTCTGCATCTTGTTTTGTTTTTTCCCACTTAGGATATCTTGCAAATCCTTCTATTGCAGTACATACAGATATGCCTCACAGTTTTCCACTGCTGCATACCACTGCAATGAATCTAAAGTTATTTACCCAATTCCAGATTGATAAAATTTGTTTCTAATCTGCGATTGCAAACAATGTGGCAGTGAACACACAGTGACCTTTAATTATGTCACTCACTTCTGATTAACACCGTCAGTGGCTTCCTGATGTTCTCAGAATAAGAGAGCAAATTCTCCAAACTCTGATCCTGGCCTCTAATGCCCTGCATAGGCTGGCTTCTGCCTCCACTCTGAACTTATCCCAAATCATTCTCCTCACTACACTCTGGCCATGGCCTTTCTGTTCCTGAACACTCCAAGGCTTTTCTGCCTCTGTGACTTTGTATTCCCTCTACCTGGAATGCTCTTCCTGCGGCTCTTCTCAGCCACTCCTTCTATTCTTGGGGAATATGTCAAATGTCTCCTTTGCAGAGAAGTCTTCCCCTATAGGATGGCCTTTCCCAGTTACTTTCCATCTCATTATCCTGTTTATGTCCTTCAAAGAACTTACAATCTGTAATTATTTTGTTCCATCCAAACAACAACCATATTAGCAGGAGCCTGGGATAGAGATAGCCACAGGGAAAATGTGATTCTGTGGTGGAAATCATATGGACTTTTAATAGAAAACCTGCCTTCCATAAAAACAACTCATTATCATGAGCTAGCAGCTCAAATGTACTTGTAAAACTCTTAGCTGGTAAGAACCCTAAGTTTAGTAGATCCATCTTCAGAGTTCTCCTGCTACACAAGAAGAAAAAGGAAGCATGGCTTTTCTTTTTCAGTAGTTACAAAACAAAAACACAACCCATTTATACAGTCTCTATATCTATAAAAAAAGGATCTTTCTCTGGTTATTTCTCAGCATCTGGTGAATCCCCCAATTCTCCACCATGAAGTCATAGTTCCCTTGGGTTCGCATTTACCAGTGGTAGATACACGATTTTGAGCTACAAGGCTGTTGCATAGACTAATGAGGAGAAGCATTTTCCTTTGCTGTTTCTTCAAGGCTGGGAGGTGGAGGTAAGGCAAGTTGGGAGAAAGGTAGGAACAAAGCTCCTTCTTATAGCAGACTTCCATGAAGTTTAAACTTCCAGCAGAAACACAAAGGCAGAATCAACTCAGAGCACTGCTGTGGCACCTTTCACAATGGTTGCAACATGCCCCTCCCTTGGGGTACTCATACCTGTGGCTGGTGGAGCAGCCTGAGGCAGCCTTCAGGTGCAGTCACATGCAGCTAAACCATCATGAGGGATGCTCCCTACAACGAGCCAGGGCAGGGGCAAGATTTTAGAAATTTTACAACTTCCTAGCCTCCTGGGCCCTCTGTGTTTTCAGATACCAGCTATGTCCTAGGATACCCTCTCCATGGTCTCCCAGCCCTAATATTTTGTGGCAGCCAGTCTTTCCTTTTGGTGGATGGCAAAGCCCAGGGAGTTTTTCTCTTCTCTTTGCCTACAGTTACCCTGGTGCTATGGCTAAACTGTGTGTTGTGTGCTGAATGTTGTGCCATTGATTATACCAGAGAAACATGCACTTGCACTGACAGGTGATTACTGTTTAGTCACAAAGTCAGAGCCCCAAGCCTAAGGACGTTTGTCTTCAGGACAAGCGAGCTGAGGCAGAGCACCCAAATCCTTACCCTCCAGCTAAACTTCTCTGGTTATTCTCTTCCCAAAGACATTATTGGGTCAAAATAACTTATTAAGCACTGTCAAGCTAGGGCTAGGGCTCACAGACCCCTCAAGCCCATTGTACAGACTTGGTCACAAACCCTTCACACACAGGTCCATGAGCTAGGTAATAGGAAAAGATCCTGGGAGCCATGGGTAAAAAATTAATAGGCTGTATTCAGAGCTAGGAGCAGCTACCCTAGTGGCCCCCCAAAAAGCATCCTGAAAAGTGCCGTGTATTAGAACCATTAGTCCTTTATACTTAGGTCCATAACCCAGGACACCCGGGTGCCCATACACAATTACATTAGATAGTAATCAAGGAACACGTGGGCGCACATGGATATTTACAGCAAATGCTCGGCAAGATCTGAAACATCTGAGGGGCCCTGACCATTTTCTTATATTTTCCCTACAAGCACACATTTTTAAACTTGTTTTTTATGAACCACAATAGTACCTACACATATTTGAAAATAACAGTGCAAGTACATAAAGCCATTTATTCTCTCTATATGGTGCACAGAATGATTCATAAACCTCAGGATCATTCTGCAACTCTGAGGTTGGGAAAATTCCTATTCTTGTTCCTCCGTGTAACACCTGGTTCTGGTTCTCTGTGGTTTGCCTATTCTTAAGGGAAGGGACTCAGGCAACAAGCAGTAAGCAATCTTCAGCAAGTGACCTAAACTATTCGAGGTTAATTGCATTTTCTCCCTCAAAATCAATACCCTTGGGAAGGAAAGAAGCTTTATTTTAACCCATCGTGGAGGGGATCAATCCCAGGAACTCTGGCATGGTGCATCCTAATGAGGGGAGCTAACATGTAGAAATACCCCACTCATTAGGCTTCGCTTTGTTAAATTCTGCTTACTTGTGAGGCACAAAGATTTTAAGTGCAGACTAAGTGAGGTTTGAAGAGGACTAGAATGAGCACAAATTTCTTTGACTTGGGCTACCTGCTGTTAAATGGGAGCAGGTCATGGTTTTACAGGCCCTTAGAGAAAGCAGAGGTAAAATGAAGGGATTACAGAAAGTAGGTACCTGCAGCCCAAAAGTGCAAGAGTCCAGGGGCAGAAGAAGGCCACACCAAGACCAGGGGGCCTAGGGGAGAGGGCAAGAGCTGAACAAGTTGTCCTCAGAGCCCTGACAGGGGAGGAATAAGCACCAGGGATGGGATGGCATCTCAGCCTCCATTCTAGCTTAATTTAATATTTAAATTTCTTTAGGCCAATGGTTTTCTTGCTTTCCTTATCAGTGTCCTCTAAAAGCATGTGTGTGCTGGGTTCAGGAGCAGATGCTGTGTAAAAGCACTTTGATGTTGCAGAGGAAGAGCCACATTAGCTCATCTTCTCAGGGCCATGGCATGAGTAAGCTGAGCAGAAAAGTATGAATCAATCACTCGGGTGTGGTCCCCGCCCCTGCGGTCACACACTGCACCCAGCCCAGCTTTCTGAGGCAGAGGGAGGGTGAGGGACACATATGCTAACAGCAGGGCCCCAGATTTCCTAACCTCAGCACCTTCCACACTAATTTACATTTTCTTTGAAGGGAGGGAACCCTTGCTGAGCTCCCGGCCCAGGAGCCCACTTTTCTTGCTTAGTCTTAAACTAACAAAATCTGTCCAAGAACTGCTGACACTGCAGCTAGAAGAGCAGCCAGCTCACTCTGGGAGATTAGGAGACTCATTCCAGGAGGAAATGCAGAGATGTTCATCTGCAAGCCATAATGTCTTGTATAGCAGTTTGCCACAAACGTAGCAGGGCCACAGCTCAGCCCTGCCCAGGTACTCCCCTCTCTTCCCTACTCTCAGAACTCAGCAATAAAGATGGGAAGGACAGGGCCTACGCAGGCACTTGGTATCCAGACTATAGTGTCAGGAGGCTGCAGTAGGCCATGTGTCCACGTGGCTGCTGGTGGAGCGGCCAGACCCCGAGGGAGGGAAATAGGAGAGGATTGGTACTCCTTAGCCACTGTTCTCATCAAATCCTTAATAAATGCAGCAACTTCTTTGCCTCAACAACCCCTATTCTACATGCAAATTGAGAGAGCCAGGGTGATTTTCATGATGCCACATAGATATCTACACGTTCCGATGCCAGGTGTGGTGCCGCAGGGAGCCCTGCCGGCAGTCCTCACTCAGGTCACAGAGCTGGCTTAGCTCATCACCACATGGTGTGGCATGCAGAGGACGTGCATGTGGGGTGGGGAAATCACATTCAGTCTGGAACATGGAGGTCACTGTGTGCAAGTATATGTTATGGGAGGAAGGACTAAGTGTTCTGTCAGCACAAATGGCCCAAAACAGACTCAACAAGGACAATTACGACCCTCTGAGCAGAACCTTCAAACCTGCTGCTGTACAGCTTGTAAGAGCAGGGCTAACGAGAGGACT